ATAAAATCCTAGACACCAGAGACACAGGACTACATTAAAAACAAAACACAATGTTGCAAAGACGAGCACTTGCAAGCCAGAAGGTGCCAAGAATCTGGTCGTACCAGCAACTATAATTCAGCCTCTTTGTACATGATTGATACCGTGTCTCTAGATCATGTAATTAAAGAGTGCATCACAAGCCAGATGCACAAAGGGGCGGCATTAAATGTAGGCATTGCGTGTGTAATTATATAATAGGAACTCTGCCAGCCCGCATGGGAGTTTTAGGAAGCCTTTCTAGCCCTCCTGTGGGTTTCTTCACAGAAGAGGAAGCTCTGGGTTCAGGATTAGAAGAATCAGAGCACAGCCCTCATTTCTGAAAAGAAGGAAGCATGTCATGTGGACTGTTTCTTGGGCCCTTGCAGCTAGTTTTGAAGAGTGAAAGTTTGAGGAGTATAAGGCTCCTCAAGAAGCAAGAGTTCAAATTCTGGTCTTTTATGCATTAAGTTAAAATGTGAACAGAGATGCCAGATGCACAATATCAGGTGCCGTTATATGGTTTTAATGCATTTTTCCAAAAAAAAAAAAAAAAAAAAAAAAAATCAGTCATTTAATCACACCCTTTATTCCCCTCTCTGGAAAAAAGAAAAAAACCAAAACAAAACAGTATGGCTCACAAAGGATCATGTGATATAGTATCAAAAGCACAATTTGTTTGAGTGAAACAGCAGCCTGTTTCATTTGTATTTATGAGCTGGGTATTATAGTTGATAAGTCTCTCCCAAAACAGAGACTTTACTGTAAACTTGGGTCTGGACTGAAATGCATCTCTTGCTTCTCCTGACTTTTCAAATCCACAGGCAGGTTATTAAGGAAGTGAGGTCTATGGCAAGTAATAGAGTTTATATGAGAACAATTATTTCTGTAAGTATAAAAAGGGTGTTTGCAACAATGCTGAAGTTTTTTATCATACCTACTGTACAACAGATTCCTGGATGGCTGTTATTTATTGAGTTAGGGGGGGAACCCCCCACAAAGAACCCCTTCCTCCCCCCACAAAAACCCTTCAGCTTCAATACATGGTGGGGGAGGGAGGCAGGGGAGGAAGGGGAAGGAAGTCGGCCTATTCATAAAACACCAATTTTATGGTGAAGCTGCTTTGAGCGGCTGAAGCACACAATTACTTTGTTCTTTAAAGCTAATCAAAACAAGTCAATAATGGTACAGTGAACAGTGTCACTTCTGCATCAACATCCATTAGACAAAGTGATTAAATATACATCAGGCTGTTGGTATAGTATAAAGTAATCTTAATTGGGCAGAGTCAAAGGATCAGCCTGCCCTGCTTTAACAATAAATCCTTCTATTTATCTAGCAGCAGCCCCGTATTATTCATGCTGCCATTATGTTCCACTGGCATCTTTTAATTGAGTCAATCTCTAGCAGGGCTAGGTTGTGAACTATGCAAGCACTTGTAGCATGTTGTGCAATAGTTGCTTCTTTTTCCAGCAGTGCCAAGCTGTGGGTTTAGATTAACATTTTTTAATGAGTGAATTCCATTTTTAGCAAACTGTTTCTAATTATGTTGTACAATAAACCCCAACTGCTTCCAAATGCAGTGCTAGACTCAGCTCATCTCTTGCACAAATTATACTGGGGCTTTTCTCTTCATAATAGTATTTCTGAAACCAAAATAAAGAGCTTATATGTTTAAAAGGGCCTTTCAATTCTCCCTTCACCCCTCCAAAATTTAAGGAGCTGCTATAATCTGTTTTCTCCAGCTCACACTGGGATGCCTCTCTTACGGTGCATGATCCAGCATGCTTATGCAAAATGCAAATTTTGACTTAAAATTTTGGTTATTTGTACTTTCCATCCGCAGCTACCACAGTTTAAATACTGAAGAACATGTTGTCTGCATAAAATTCTGGTAATCTATTCCAGTGTTTTAAAGTCAGGATGCTCACCGACTTGCACACACGGATGAGCCTTATTTGTACCAGAGCTGCATGTGCAAATTACTTTCGCTTTGCCAGTTTGTACACACACTTGTGCACTCTTTAGCTGAACCTCCCCATGTGCCCACACCCTGAATTCTTGGAATAATGTCTCAATTCATGTTACCCTAAAAGATCAACATGATTTAATCACTAGTCCTCTCCCAGAGAGTCTGCAAGAGGATTTCAGGCAGGGATACAAACTAAAATTGAAAGAAGGGATCCCTAGCCTTCCACACAGGTGCTGGGAAAGTGCCACAGATGTGAAGTTCAGAACGTGAGCTTCACTTGCCCCCAAAACTAGAGGGTCTATACACTTTGGCCAGTAGATTTCAGCCTGTGTTCTACTGGCAGCACGTTAGTAATATTCCAGGTAAGGGCTCTTCTTATCAAAGCATCTTGTTCGCTAGTTCATGCTTTTAGAACAATTGTCCTCACACGTCCTGTATCCAAGTATCAGTCTGTTCTCAGATGTTTCAGGCCATTATCTGGAGAATAAATTCCAAATTGGAGGCCTCGCTCACACAGGCAGTTGCTACGGTTGAGTGCAGAAATCAAATAATTGACAATGCAAATGGTAACGTCCCAATTTGAAAATGTGGACTTACATGAACAGAGAAGGCCCTTTTCCTACCCTATTTATAGCTGTTGCTACATGTTAAATTGCCTTTCACATAAGTTTTAAGGTGTGTTTGCCAAGGAAAAACACAAAGGGAAAAGATTCCAGGTGTACAGAAGTGGCTTTTTTCCTGGCCCTTACTAAATTCAGTATAAAGACTTCTTTGGGTGAGAGGCACTCAAAAAGTGCTTTTTAAAATAAATTAGTAAAATGGTAGTGACATGGATGCATCATTTAAGCAGCTGTTTACTCATGGCTGGGTGCTGGTCCAGGGGTGAGAAGTTTGTTTACTCATGGCTGGGTGCTGGTCCAGGGGGGAGAAGGGATACATACATATCATGAAGGCCACTTACAAACTCCATGCTTAGTACTGGGCTTCCAAAGAACATGTGGTGCATTAATGTGAGACCGATTCTCTTTCTAAAGGCATTTGATCCAAGTGATAGCATCAATTACAGGAGAACTCCAGGCAGACAGCTTATGGATACATTTCCTCAGTGGAACATGTCTTGTGTGTTACAGAACCCCTGGTGGGCTGACACCATGAGCTTTTGGTCTCAGCAGCTGGAAGACTGTTTCTGAGAACCTGTTGGTTACCAGACAGTTCTGGCTTGTTGCGGCTGCTGGCAGAAGTACCTATGAGCAACCTCGGAGTTCAATAAAAAGTTCCAGCTTTAATTAATGGCGCTGTAAATTAATCTGAGGAGCTTTATTTTCTGATACTGTAGCTCAGCCCTGACTATGGAGCATATTTGTACAAGTCACAGACATTATTAACATACCTGGGGAGCTTATAAAATATAAAAGTAGCTAACCACTTAAGGGTAACGGACTGTATTAAGATGCATTTGTACAGTGACTAGCAAAATGCAGTGGCATGTCTTCTGGGTCCCCAGGCATTACTATTATACAAATGAACTACTAGAAACAACTTTGCTCATAAATTACTTAACATGTTCTAAAGATCACTGTGAGGCACAACCATTAAAAGCAAGCTGTGGATTCAACATGCTTGTGGCTTTCCTTTAAAGTTGTCCACAGCAGTAAAATCAATTTTGATGGATGATAATTTATGTGACAGTTGCTCAGGACATCAGCAAAAACCATCCCCACAAACAAAACCAGCATTCATGCTTGTTCTCCCTGCAATGCTGGCCTGTTTAAAATTTCACTCATGAAGCTGGGTCTGATGGTGAACAAGACAGCCAGAGCATTCCAGAAAGGAGCACAAGCAACAGAGAATCCAGCTGCTGAGAACCTACATTTAGCAGGTCAGATAGTGATCCCACCCACTCGGAACATTTGACAATTCAAATCTCCTTACTCAAGGTTTTTCCACATATGCTGCTCAAAACCATTTGTCTGCTACTATTTACCACTTCTCTTTGAAAGAGAAGTTTTGGTATGCTTCCTGTATTGATCATTTTGGCTGACAGAAGATGGAAAGCTTCAGAAGGCTTCCATTTGCTGCACGTACCGTACGGAAGAAAAAAGGCACAGCTCTTAGATGCTTGCAGCACCCCATCTCATCTCACAGCTACTCTTCTTTCACTTGATTTCTTCTACAAGTACTATTTCCAGCGTTTCTACTAGCTGCTAAAAAGTTGCTTTTCCTCTGCTCTGGGGGGATGGCCTATCTTTAAATCCTTTGTCAGTTGTTTTGGCCATGTTTTCTCCACAGCCATGCATATTAATTAAAACTTGACTAGCAAGAGTAGCACTGCTAAATTCTGCTCATCTGCACTTGTAGGAGAGGCAGCTATTTTTGATGGGCAAGTTAAAAGCCACCTTTAAAAGGCTTTTTTCATTTTGTCAAGGGGACAAATAGATCACATTGATACATTTCTGCTGTAAATACACAGCATTTCAGGAACACCAAAAAAGAGACAAAAAGCCATAAAAAGATCATACTTCCAGATTACAGGATGTTATAGCACACTTCAAACCTGCTGCATTTACAGCACTGGAATGTTAATCTGATGGCTTCTGAAATTGGAATACAGGGAACATGTACGTGCTCAAAATAGAAAGTTCATCTAATGGAGCTTTACCCTGTTCCCATTCAGTAAATAGACATGCTTGGTAATTAGAACGTATTTAAAAATGTAGGTGTACCTTTACTCTCACTTTGGGGAAAAAAAAAAAATCATGCCTATGTAATATTGCAGCCACACAAAATGAAAAACTGCAAGCGTCATCATGGGCACAAACTGTGTTATTCTGAACATAGTTTCCATCCGCCTGATTTTAGCCTGTCAGCCAGTCTTGACAAAAGTTGGAAAGTATGGAACAAACTTACAATATTGCCAGCAATTACTTGATTCCAGAAGCAAGTTTTAGGGTAGTGGCTACAGGCTTTTTCTTTTTAAAAAGGAGTGAATGTGACAAAAGTAACAAAAAAGAAACTTTAATTTGGGGGCTTTATTTAATTTTTGTTTTTTTAAGATGCTACATAGTCAAACAGGATTGGTCATTTTACGGCATAGAACTAGTTTACTACTAATAATTTTTTTCCCTAGATAGACTTATTTACATACAAAAACAAGATTTCCTGACCACTGTTTCCCCAATGTTTAGATGATCAAAACTCTGACAATTATGTAGTGCCCAAAACATCAGGAGGCAGAAGGATCCTGCATCACTACAGCAGCAACATTTTAGTTCTATCCATTGACTTTAGAACAGGTGCCTTTTTATACCATAGTATTAGTCAATTTTGTGACAATAAGGAAACATGAGATGAAATACATTAAATAAGTTAAATATGCATTAAACATCTCTGAATAACATTTTAATTCAACTAAATGAACCCACAGCAATGTAGCTTGGTCCTGTTAAGAGAACAAGGAATTGACCTTTATTCCAAATGAGTGTCATACCAGTCAATAGATGCCTCTTAATGATGCCTAGCACATTCAGTGCTGCCACATACAATTCTTTTCAGCTTCTCACTATTCATTTAAGTGCCAAGAAATTGGGAACTTGCACAGATTTGAAGACACTGACAAAAACTGTTAAATTTATGAGCAGAACAGTGGATTAACGTATTTTACAGAAGTTATCAACACCTCCTACCTAACCCAGCGCCACACCTCCAGAAAGGCCAGCTCTAGCAGTGGAAGAAAAGGGGTTTTTCTTTGTTTAAAAAAAAAAAGAGGTAATCCAGCATCATGTACCAAGGGCTAAGAATGTTTAAAATGACATTTACAATATTTCATTGTAGTGTTAAATCATGATTTTTCCCTCCTCATAAGAACGTTCTGCAACTCACTCATTGTACATTTTAAACTTTCTAGATTGTTATGTTATATTTGTGCAGGGGTAAATTTAAAAAGGCAAGACCTGTGAGATGTCATACATTAATTTTTTTTTAAACATTGTTATGAATAATTTTAATCCAATGATATGGCAGAACCATCAAACCAATGTACAATCCTCAGCATGCAGCCTCTACAAGGCTATTTTTCCTAAAATTGCACCAAGGATAAAGAACAAAACAATCAGAGCAAGTAGTCTAGTGCTCAGCCCTTCCTCCTTGACAGTAGTAATGGCAGAAGCTGGGTTGTTCGTCTGGGAGGTCTTCCTCATCCGCAGCCCATCTTCTTCCTACAGGAAGGAACCCTAATTATTTGACTCTGAACAACAGAAAAATAGTATATTGACCTCCACCTCCCCTAATCCCACCTCAAGAATTTAATGAGTCATTAGCAATGTAACACTTGGGTGAATGTATGGATAATCTAGTAAATCTGTTTGACTCAATCCTCCTTTGAAGAAACACATATGCCTTTGATGTAGGAATATGACGACTCCTCACCTCTTGTATTCTCACTAGGAAATTTGAAAAGGGGAATAAAGACTACAATTGACTCCAGAAACATCCCACATATACATGGGGCATGGGACAGCAACCTGAAGGGCCCAAGTTTCAATACCATGCATCCTGAATAGCTGTACAAATAGGCACACTAATCAAAAATAAGATAACAAGATTTCCCAGATACTGAACTAAAATAACTACTCTCTTTTTTGTAGGACACCAACATAAATATGTCATTAATGCTGGTGGGAATCACAGGAGTGCTGCCCTTCCCTTTGCATCCTGGTGGTGCTCTCCATTACTAAAGTAACAATTAGGTTGGAGATTGACGCACCTTCTATACTCCAGCTACTACAGGAGGCACTATCATTTCACTTCCTGACCTAGTTGTGCAGCACTGCTCTGTTGTTAAAAATAGCTGCTTCTTCCCAAACAGGGGTGGGCTGAACTTGGGGGATGCATCTCTGTAGCCCGTACCTTTTAGGTTCCTGGACAATGGGTGTTAAGCACAGTACTGTTCCCTGAATTAAAAGATGCCAAACCATAAGAGACTGACTGCAGCAATGAAAAACTCAAGTTCAGGCAAATAATCAAAATAATCCTCAAAACCACATTAAATTTTGCTGGGTTGACTAATAAAAGTTAAAGCTTCAAAACATTGCTGGAAGAGTTGGACACACTCCTTCAACCTGTTCTTTTCGCATGTTCTTATCATTTTGGCAGAAACATAGGGGGCTCTAGAGTTGACCAGTGGTGCTCAACCTTTTAGCCCCAAGCACCAGGCTGCACCTATCCCCTGCTCACTCAATCTACTGTGAAGGGCAATCCATGGCGCTTCCCAAAGACTGGAGGACAAGACACCAGGGGCTGGATCTGACTTGTGGGTTGGGGTTTGAGCACCCCTGGTACATTTGTAGAGAATTTATCATCAGAAATACTTTGTACTACTCAAATATTTGCAAAAATGAAACTGCTAGATACTTAATACTTTAATAGTGCACTGTCCTAATTCAAATGTTCATAGGTAATTATTGCATTCCAGATTCTCAGATGAGTTAGGCACCTAATTTGTACACAATGTGTATAAGGCAGGTCTTAAATGAAGAGTGCTCTTGGAACAGCATTTAAGATAAATTGATTTTTTTAAATTCATATGGCATTTTAAAACAGCCAACTTGAGATGTTGACAAACCAAGAGGTATGAGTTTAAGCCAGCATCCGGCTTACTTCAGTGGCCATAAACAACAAAAAGTGTTTTTAAAAGAAAGATTTCCTTTCCTTGAGCCAGTGTTAAAGCAGACTGAGGCTAGAAACAGACGTTGCCAAATAAAGCAGATCAGCTGTGCTGAGATGGGTGCTGGCACAGCTGATGCACTTCACCAAGCAAAACATGTTGCCCATTGTCCTACATCAACAGCTGGGACAATGGGCAACATGTTCTCCCAGGGCTTGAGGGGCCTGGTCCTGCAGAGGAATTCCGTCCCGGGAATTCCCGAGCAGGGTTGGGCCCCTCAAGCCCTGGGAGTACCTGCCCAGCTTTCCCTGCTTACCCAGACATGTTCCTGGAGATCCCATCTAGCTAAATGGAGAAAGCCAGGCAGGCTCTCCCAAGGCTTCAGGGGCTCGATCCAGTGCAACAATTCCTAGGGTGTGCAGGATTGGGCCCCTCAAACCCCTGCCCAGAGTGGCTGGAGAGCATGCTCCTCCGCCAAAGCAAATAGATGTCTACAGCAATAAGCAACACAAATTACTACCTTCCATTACAGCCATGAAATTGGGCATTTGTAGTGCAAAGATATGGAATATATTTTTATGGTGGCACAAAAGTAAGGAAAGACTATTGATTTCCACCCTGAATAAATCTTTCACAGTAGCTAGGGTCAGGAGGAACCTGAACAAATCATCTAGCCTGACCTACTACCACAGGCAGGAATGAATGCTGGGTTCACAAGACCCCGGACAGGTGATCATCCAACCTCCTCTTGAATTTGCCCAAGGTAGGGGCGAGGACCACTTCCCTGGGAAGCTGGTTCCAGATTTTAGCCACCCTAGCTGTAAAATATTGCCTTCTGATCTCTAACCTAAACCTATTCTCCATCAACTTATTACCGTTGTTCCTTGTCACCCCAGGTGGTGCTGGGGAGAAAAGGGCTCTGCCTATTTGCTGTCGATCTCCCCTGTTGAGTTTGTAGGCAGCCACCAGGTCCCCCCTCAGCCTCCTCTTGCTGAGGCTGAACAGGTTCAGGTCCCTCAGTCTCTCCTTGTAGGGCCTGTCATGCTACTTCTGTTTGGGTGTGCCCCAATTTACTATTTTTTAGCCATGTGACTAATCTCAAGACCCTGACACTTAAAAATTGCTCTGAAAAAGAACAAGTCGCAGTGACTACTGAGCATTTGTGCTGCTCTGCCGGGCAAACTAAAATGCAGCTTCTTAAAAGTGCACCAATAGCTCTTTTGGGTATCATGGTTGAACATTCTAAAATGCTCAGGGTTAACTTAATTCTGCTCCTGCTACGAGTCAATGTTAGAACTCCCACAGCTTTAAATGGAAACAAAAAGCTTAGACCAAACTGATTACTTCGGGAAATGTCAAATTAACATAATCCAAGAAAATGCATAAATGTTGGAACCCGTATCTCATTTTATCTGGCTAAATACTTCACACTGTAAAGAGGCACTGATTTAAGCATGTGGTATTTAAAAAAAAAAAAAAAAAAAGTCTGCAGATACAAATTTGTTCTTTTTTGGTGCCTTGCCAACACTAAAATGCCAGGGCCCAAACCCACCACATCCACCCTGCAGAGTGCACTTCAAACGTCAAAAGCAAAATCTTTACCTTAAACTGTTTATTCTCCTCCCGTAACCTCTGAACTTCTACTTGAAGCCTCTTATAGTCTTCCTTTACTTTCTTAACTTCAGAGTCATCCAAGGAAGAACTTATTGATTTAGACATTACAGAGGATTCTGTCTTTGCTGCAGTTGTAGATACAATTTTATTTATTTCTACATCATGCTGTTTAAGAGAAAAACATTGATTTTAGAGTGGTTATTAAGAGATCTCCCCTCCCCCAAATGATGCCTATAATTAAAACATGTCATTTTATGCTGCAGCCCCTGCTTCACTTCCTGATTTACAGTTAAGCCAGGAGCAATGAATTGCAGAGCAAACAGGACTGTTAGCCCCAGATGCTCCCTCTGGGGAAACGAACAGCCCTGCCCATCTTCTCACAATGAGGGCTGGGTTTTACTGGCTGATGGCTCTCACCTCTCCTGCAGCTACAATACACCTACATGCACAGCTCCTGGGGCATAAGTGCCACCATAAGCGAGTAGGAGGGAGTCAGGGGAGCACAGTGATAAAGGGCTGCTTCCAAGAACCAGCCTGTTGCCAGGAGCCACCTCATTATCCTGCTGCATATTTGTCCTCACTCCTCCCAGTTGGCCACCACTTCTCTCTCCAGACTCTCCTCCCATGCTTCTGTGGTCTGGAAGGAAGAACCACCCTTGAAAACAGTTCAGGACACAGGACCTGATCATGTTAAATGATACTGGTGTGTAATTGAACATGTCTGTGGGGACATTAAACTACTCCAACCACATTTCTCCATTAACTACTCCAACCAATTTTGGGCAGAAAGGGATTTCTTTCCCCTTCTGCTCCTGCTAAATGTTCTTATCTTGTCATGCATAACAAACCCTACCTACAAGCACAAATATGGTCACCCCCCCAGTCATCAAGAACACTGGCCAGAGGGGAGAAAAAAAAAAATCTTAATGCAACTTATGGTCTGTTTGCCCTAATGACCTTTAGGGATTTAGAATACACGGTCTTGAAATTTCAATGTTGCTGATCAGACACCAGTCTGTCAGCTTTATAGGACCAATATCACACATGTACAATTGCATCTGCACAATCATGAATGCAAAGAAGAACATGTTTGTAGCTCAGGTGCAGGCAGCACTGGATACATGTTTATCAGTAGGTCTCGATCCAGCTCTGCATTTGAGGATGTTTATTTCCATCATGAATTAATCAGTGCTTTCAGCAGCACCCTAGCAAAACACTACTCAACTCAGTTCCTACCAAGCAGGGATCCTATACCACAATAACCTTCTACTTTTAAAGACAGTGCCAGGTCAGAAAGGAGGCTGGCAGAACTGCACAGGTTTGCTTCTGTTGCTGATGCTCAAGGTAAAATGAGAACTCTAGCATCAACCCAAAAGGCAGCAATATCAAAGAATGTTAACAGTCTTTTGGCACTTCTCGTCTAAATTAACTTCAAAGTAGAATAAGCAAAACAAATATTTAAAAATTCCTTTTTTTTAAAAAAAGGATGTCATTCAGATACTGAAATGAATGATCTGCAACCTGCATTTTATATGCTCTTGCTATGGTAATAAGTCACCCAGAACACTGTTGGAAATACTCACAGGTTTATCATTTTCTGCTGGTAGCTCAAACACACATCTAAGTTTTGAATCCATGAGTTCTTCTGGTTTTGCTTCTTTCCACTAAAATATTTTTTTAAAAGAAGAAAAAGAAGAACACAGTAAGTCTTGTGGAAAAGACAGTGCAATTAGTTTACTCCTTATATAGTCTGGCTCAGGGAAGAAAAACCAACCCCCCCCCAAAAACAAACAAAACAGTGGGGACAAAAGCACTGGTGTTTATCCAGGCATTTAGTGGTAGTGACAAACTACTTAGAAGCATGATCAACACAAAGCAACAGTTTAAAAATTGAGTGGCATTTCTTAAAACTACCTTAAAACAAACTAAAAGCGACATAATACAGCACTAACATGCTGTAAAAGCAATTAAAATAATAAAATCAAATCACAGCATTAAGAAACCTGTATTTAGAATTGACACAAAAGTGGGAACTTTGTTGGTAGTTATATCAACAAAGGTCTGACCCACAAACACTTGTCAGGTATATCTATCACTTGGATCAAACAGAAGACGTGCAATAAGAGCATTCAGAAAAGGGAAAAAGTGACCAAAACAAAACAAAAAAACCCCCACATCTAAAATACTGCTGTTTTTGGTTCAGTCTTTTGTTAAGTCACAGATCTTTCTTTCCAATTTATTTCAAATACTGCTTTACAGTCTCTAAGCGCTGTGTTTATTGGGGAGTAAATATTACTTCCTCAGAAACCCCTACCAAAACCTTCCAGTTTTCTGTTGTTCATTAGTAAAATGTAATGTCACGTCTGTGTATCTTTATCTCATTATCAGCAATATGTTAAGTCGAGCATTCTCAGTTCTATACAGGCGAGACCGGAATTAAGCCATTTAAGAACATCAACATACTAGGTGACAGGAAAAGAGAATACCTACAAACCTTTGCTAAGCCTTGCATGTTTTTATTTTACTTTTCAAAAGCTAATGCAGTAATACTATGAATGGTAGGGATCATTTAGGTTTTTCCTCCTATTTTGAGACGTTAATCAAGATGAAACATTTGACCAAAGGGATTTTTATTTATTTATTTAATACTTGTTAGAGCATTTATGACATACAGGTTGCCATTTGTACCACAATTATACTCCTCACCAATAACCCCTCAGCTAGACAATAACGTGCAATTATACTTCACTTCCCCCCTACAATTAGGAAAAACTGCCAGTACAAAGACTATCTAACATTTATGGTGGGAATTACAAGTTATAAATCCTTGCCTGGTGTCAACTGTACTTCTAACTGAAGTGGTTGCTTCTCAATAATGATATCTAGCTGTGAAGGTCCATAAATCACTGCACCTGAAGCTTTCATATACTTTTCTTCATCTTGAATTTAATTTTAGTTAGCAAGATTATCTCAACTAGCCTGAAAAATTATGGTCCTGCCCATGCAGTTTGAAGATTTTGACCCATGTAAACAGCTGAATTGTTCTGCAAATCTTCTGTGGCTGAAATCAGGAGTCTATTTTGAGTTTGCTGGCTGTGAAATGTTGAAAGCTTTATAGTACTCCAGTAATGTCACACCTGTTTATCCAGAATAGGAAGATTTCTGTATGGTGGTAATATATAGAAGGACTGACTGAGTGCTGTTGGAAAAAAAAACAAAACAAAAACAAACAGTTTTGTTTTATGTTGGTCTAATGTGCCCTAGAAGTTCCAATGTCCATTTAGGTTCCTAAATACATTACCAAGTTAGAGAAACTTTTCTTAGGAGATGGGACAGTTCACAACTGAAGACATGGCAGGATGGGCAGGGGACGCATGTGGAAAGAGACTGATTAATCTCTGCCAATGTAGAAATGTTTCTTACTGTACAGATGCTTTTCTTCCACCCATATTGGTTATTGTAGACAAGAATATAGTTATATAAAACTTTATTTGGAAGGGCGACTTCAAGAATGCTCTCCGAATGCTTACACAACAAGCTTTAAGAGTCTGCAATATCATCCAAGGAGGGTTTGCTTCTCAAACAAATAAAGTAACCTGTTGAGTTCTCTAGCCAGTCTAACAAGAGCTACTATAATGTGAGCATGCTCTCGGTGAATCCTGTACTGTCTTTATAAAAAGTAGGTATTGTACTCTTCTCTGTTACATAATTTCTACGTTTTGATATTACCATAATGTAGAAACATGCATGGGAAAGAGACCTTAGTTTCTAAAGGAATATAGCAAAAGAAGCAATTCCCTTAATGAAACCAACTGTAACAACAAAACTCCTATTACAATGAGCATGACCATTGTTGAGTTAGGAAAACAAGCAATATGTGCAAAAAATGATCAATAAATACACTTTCTTTTAAAACCCCCCCAAGTCCTCTTTTCATGAAGGTAGAAAGATGCGTGGCCACAAGTGGGCTTAGACTGCCTGTAGAATTGGCTAATTTCCAAGATTATTAGAAATAAAAATGGTCCTGTATTATAAAACACAGGTGGGGTGCTGTGGAGGGAAAAGAGTTGTCCTTCAAGACGACACCAACCTACCTGGGTGTCACTCTAGACAGAACCTAACCTTCCACCATGACCTGGAGAAGTTGAGGCACAAGGTAAATCTGAAGGGCAGCAGCCATTAAGCAGCTAGCTGGTACAACATGGGGTGCTGACTTCTCTACCTTGAGAACAGCTACACTAGCCATGGTTTATGCACCAGCAGAATACTGCCTCCCTGTGTGGGCAAATAATGTCCACACCAGCAAACTGGACAGTGCCCTGAATTCTGTACTACAAGTAGTAAGTGGCTGCCCAGTATACATGGAATGGGAAAACATGTTCATTTTGGCAGGAATCCCCCCTCATAATATCAAGAGGTCTGGGATACTGATTGATCTGGCAATCAAAGCCCAACAGGAAGACCATCTGCTACATGACATGATTGAAAAGTACCCAATGAAGAAACACCCAAGAAGCAGAAAACAGCTACTAGTATCTACCAGAAACAGAGAGGAAGCAGGAGACACCATACTGTTACCATGGTCCTAGACAAGGTGGGAAGAGCAATGGAGTAACTACCACACCCTACTACACAACTACATACAACTACCATCCTCACACCCTCCTGGTCAAACTCCCATGCAAGGCATGCGTAAACCTGAACTGACTGCAATCAAACTATGGAGCCTTCAACAAAATCAAAGTGGGCTTTACAAACTCACCACTGTGCCCCTGAGGCAAAGGACACCAGACAGCCCAGCATATACTAATCGACTTTCCACTACATGGTCCACCAGAAGGAGCGAACAGTCTGAAAGATTGCAGTATTATTGATGGATCTACTTTTAAATGGTTGGAGTCGACTTTCTAAAATCGTATGCAAGAAGGGGATGTGTCCTCATGAGCAGAAACACCTGTTCCCCAGGGACAAACAGCAGAGGCACAATATGTGCCACTGTTGTTACTTGTCCCTGGGAAACCCCCATGCATGCATGCTCTGGCATGCAGCACATTGCCCTGGGTGGGGGAGGCCAAGGCCAGCACCTGGGCTGGCTGCAGCAGCCTTATCTATGGCCTCCAGGGGCTGCAGCCATGGCAATCCTGCAGCAAGGAGCCTGGCCAGCAGCCAGAGTATGGCTTTGGCCGGCCCAGCTCCAGCTGCCCTAGGGGTTTTTGCAAGTGAGCTAGTGGGGACTGCTTGCATGTACAGCGCATGCAGCGTGCAGTGCTGCAGACAGGTCTGCGATGTGGCATACCACACACGCATTCTGGTTTGGAGGTGCCCAGGGAGTTTAAAAGCAGGTAGAGGGTATATTGAAAATAAATCATGTCAGATAGCTAGGAGCTTTGGGGAAGAAATTGAAAAAAAAAGAGACATTTCTTTTGGTTAAAAGAGGAGGGTGGTGGAGGGGGCAGAAGACAGGTATATTGTTTGTTATTACAGGAAGTGCTACCACTAGAAAAGTACTAGTGACTGCTTATAAGAGGTCAGTGATGCCTGCTTTGCTTCTTTCCAAGTTTACTTAAGTAGCCAGCAATCTTACTGCTATATTCTTTTCTTCTTCCTCAACTACTAACCCATATAAAGATTGGATTAATGATTTCTGGCTCAGAAACACATGGTTCGGGTAAATAATCAACAAAAACAGTGAACAAGGAAAAGGTTAAAGAAAACACAACAATAATTAAATGAGGCTAGTTCCTACTGCAAAGGTGCAGGCTGCTTAAGAGAAGGCTCATTGTACATTGAGAAAGGTTAAAAAGATAAGCTCCACAGAGCCTAGGAGATGCCAAAAATCAGACCAGCCTAGCCCCAGACGCTGTATTTTAAAAATCTGAACCTGACAAAAAGTGTGAGCCCAGGCCCAGGATCTTAGATGGCAGGGCTAATATTGGCTATTTGAGAAAGAGGCTCTTTGGGGCTCGTTGCCCATCTAGTTCCGCAATGCTGTGATCTTCCCAAATATACAGATGTCACCCCTTTCCTCAGGATTTACAGGAAAAAATCCCCAAATTCATGAAGCCCCTTTGTAAGCTTCAGTGTTATCTCTACTGTTTCCATGTTCAATGTTACGTCTACTGTGTTTGGTAAATCAGCTTCAATACTTACTACTGCTTCCATATCTGAAGTATCAGCTGGAGCAAACATTGACTGAACCATGAACTTGTGTTTACTTTTCTCGTTAGGGTCATAATCAAAAGGCTGTAGCATCACTACAAGGAAAGGAAAAAGAACATTATGTCAGCATCGTAAGTACTTCCAACTGACTACATCACTTCTTGTAATACAGAAAGCAAATAACTTTAGTTGTTAGGGTTGTACAAAAGAGTTCCACAGGTAAGGCTGCAATTCAAGACTGGGGAAAAAGAGGTGGTGAAGATCCCTTAAATCTACCATCTGGTTTGAGAACTTTGAAAAAGTGATGACCACTTTCATTATTCTGCTTGGGTTGTAAACAGAAAGTTACAGTATCTTTTATATAACAAAATTTACATGCTTTCCCAAGCAGAGATATAGGAGATATTACTGACAAACCAATGAATTTGTAATCTTCTACATATATTATAGCTGAAAGCTCTCAAGGAGGACCATAGAAACAAGTCCTATAAGTATTTCAAATGTTTGAGATCGAAAGCCTAAAAATGCATGTTTTCCTTGAAATGTTTAGAAATCTCATGTTGCTTGGTTTAAACCAAAATAACTTTTCCATTTCCAAATGTACAAAGTTTTGCTTGGCTGCAATTTCTTATATACTATACAAACTAAGCAGAAAAAAAGATGCAGTTAGGACACAAGTATTAGCCATATTCACAGGCCATCACTGAAATTAAAATTCAGGGCAATGGACTGTAAAGTGAAGAATAAACACTATGCAACATGCAAGTGCAAGTAAAAGTTTTCTTCTGCATCTTTGTAAACAACATCCTGAAGGTGAGGCAATAGGTATTCAACTAAATTAATTTTTCAGATCCCAAGGCTCTGAGCCAGCAGAACCCAAGAGCAATATGGGAGTAGCATTCTTTGTTCGCTAAATTTTCACTCCTCTACCAAGTCATATTCATCTAAGTTTGTGTGCTGAGACTAATCACATTAAGGTCCAAGTGTCCTTTAGAAGGTGCTGAGAGTCCACCTATAGAATAGGTCAGAATGTAAAGGAAGGATGGATTGGAGTAGATGAGGGGTGGGCAATTATTTCGGGCGGAGGGCCGCTTACCCAGTTCTGGCAGGCTGTTGAGGGCCACATGGGTAGTCCTGCCCTGCCCCCCCGACAGGTGCCCTGCTTCCTGGTCACCATCTTGGGACCAATGTCTTGAGACCAAAGACATTGGGACATTGGTCCCATGTCCCAGGGCCGGCACCAGTGGGGCCCAAAGCAGGGAACAGGTTGGCAAGGGTCTGTGGAGCCAGGCTGGGCTGTACCAGCAGGGAGAGGGGGGAGCTGGCCCAGCTTCATAGAGCCCCTGCCGGCTGGGACCCCGCGCTCCTGCCACCCCGCTCTGGGCCCTGTCTGCACTGGCCCTGTGACACTGGTGTGGGCCCTGTGCTCCTGCTGGCTCCCTGCCCACTCACTCCCAGTCCCCCCCCAGCCATACAGTACAGGCGGGGGGCGGCACACAGCCCCGACCCCCTGCTAGCCGGCAGGGAAGAAGCTGGTGCTGAGCATAGGGAAAAGTGGCCCCTCGCCTGCCCCGTGGCCGGTGCTCCCTGCTGCAGGTGCTTGCAGCCCACGCGGGGCTGCCCTGAGCAGGCACAGGCAGCCTCATGTGGGCTGTAAGTGGCTGCAGCACAGGGCGCAGCCACAGGACGAGTGAGAGGCCTTTTTCCTCGTGCTCAGCACCAGCTTGTAACCCAGCCCTGCTGCCAGCCTGGGCTCTGCACCAGCTCCAGGGGTCTCCCGTTGGGGCTGCACATGGTGGCAGCAGCTGCGGCCCCCCTGCATGCCACACTAGGCAGTGTTGGCTGCTGCTGCCTGCCTGGAGTGCACATGCTGGGCAGCAGAGGCGGTGGTGGCAAACACTGCCTGGCACTGCAAGCGGGGCGGGGGGGCTGCAGCTGCTGTTGCCATGCGCAGCCCCGATGGGCGAGCCCAGAGCCACATGGGGCCCAGGCTGGTAGTGGGGCTGGGTTACAAGGTAATGCTGAGCGCTGGCAGGGGGGGCAGCAGGGCGGGAAGCAGCCCCTTGCCCGCCCCGTGCCTGGTGCCCTGTGCTGCAGTCACTTGCAGCCTGCATGGGGCTGCCTGTGCCTGCTCCTGCTCAGGACAGCCCCACATGAGCTGTGAGCAGCTGCAGCATGGGGTGGGGGGGGAGGAGCTGCTTCCTCCCCACTCCCCCCATGCTTAGCTTTTCCCTGGGACATTTTTCCCCAGGCTCCTTTCCCCCCAGCCCTTACTTGAGGTTCTGGCATGGGGCAGCCATATGGTCCCAGGCCAGAAGCCCCCAGTGGGGCTTCTGACTGAGTGGGTGGGGCCAGGCAGGCCCTGCTGTTGTGGGAGCCCACCGGGGTTTCCCCTGGGTCCTACTGCCCTTGGTTCCTGTCACTTTTGACAGGAACCAAGGACAGAGAAATATTAATTTTCTGAATTTTTTAGGGGCCTCAGTGGCCAAGTAGAATGGCCTTGCAGGCTGGATGCGGCCCGCGGGCCATATTTTGCCCACCCCTGGACTAGATCCTATCCAGTAGATCACATGGGAAGTGTCTATACTCCAAGAAACACACCCAGCCTACCTTCTGTACTACACCCAGAAATAAGGCTGTGAACTTGTCCTGAGGGCCCCCTCTCCTGCCACTATTTTGCTCCTACACTAGCGTTTTCAATATTTCTGCCTCCAGCCTGCTAGACAGCAGGAGGCAAGGGGTGCTCTCAGGGTGGCTTTGCTGTCCCATTTCCAAGCCTGCACACGGGAGCAGGGTGTGCTTCTTGGCAGCACTCCTCAGAGGGCTGTGGAAGCAGTACAAGTGTATCCTAGGTGTCATCTTACCTCTTGATCTGCAAGTACAGCTTTCTTTTACCTCTGCCACCACTCCCTTGCATTAGGTACTCGGGAGTAAATTCCCCTCCCTGCCCCCACAAAGACAATTCCCCTGTATTAGAGTGGCTAGAAGAGGGAGAAAGGATGCATATTCCGGTTACCGAAATACTGCAACAGTCACCAGGAACAGCAATGTTTTTGCGTGTGCGCGCACAAGAGATCAACTTAGGAGGGAGACAGGTAAGAAAAGGAATGTGTTGTCTACAGTGCCTTCTTAGGTTAGGCAACACGTACAATGTAAAAACCATGCTATTTTGCATATGAACACACATGACCAAATGCTACAAACTGCTTCAGACTAGCAAATGGAAATCTAACACAAACTGTGTAAGCCACAACTGCTACTGCTTACTTGATATAAGTAAGATTTTAGAGGGTACCTTACCTTTTAGTTAGACAAGTTGCTTTTGCCAAATTCATCAGTTAGTTCAAAGTCCCAGAATTAAAGCAAGTTTTAACGTACTAGTACCGTGCTGTACTTTAATATACTAGTATTATACAGTACTAGTGTTTTAGATGAAGCATAGTATCAAACAATAAACGCATTAAATTCAGGATTTTAGGTTGTAGCCGTGTTGGTCTAAGGATATAGGCAGACAAGGTTCCTTGGGTGAATTTGATATCTTTTATTAGACCAACCCAAATGGTTGGAGAATAGTTATTAGGCAAGCTTTCGGGTTCAAAAACCCTTCGTCAGGCTCAGGAAGCTGCAGCAGTTGGTGTGTGCTCTTCCTGGATGGAATGAAAAGTAAAATATATGTCGCTGTTGAGTCTGGCTTCTTTCTTTTTCATGTTGTACAGTTTCCATTTCAGACGGCTGAATTCGATATCTTCCATGTTGCAGGGTTTTTGAACCCGAAAGCTTGCTTAATAACTATTCTCCAACCATTTGAGTTGGTCTAATAAAAGATATCAAAAATTCACCCAAGGAACCTTGTCTGCCTATATCCTTAGACCAACACGGCTACAACCTAAACCCCTGCAACATGGAAGATACCGAATTCAGCCGTCTGAAATGGAAACTGTACAACATGAAAAAGAAAGAAGCCAGACTCAACAGCGACATATATTTTACTTTTCATTCCATCCAGGAAGAGCACACACCAACTGCTGCAGCTTCCTGAGCCTGACGAAGGGTTTTTGAACCCGAAAGCTTGCTTAATAACTATTCTCCAACCATTTGGGTTGGTCTAATAAAAGATATCAAATTCACCCAAGGAACCTTGTCTGCCTTAAATTCAGGATAGCCACTATACAGCTTCATGAGACTGCCTAAATGTTTTATTGCATCACTGCTACATGCAAGGATCCAATTTGTTCTAGGGCAAGAACAGCCACGGCAAATTTTAAGTGAATAGAATAATGCTAAGCTTGTGCCATCTCTCTCTCACACACACACACGCTATCAGCAACTGTGGAAAACTGCTGAATAGTGAATTTTCTTAACTGGAATGCTTCCTTAAACTCCACTTGCGGTAATCAAATACCAGTGTAAAATAAACATTATTATACGAGAGAGCAAAATTGTGAACCAGCTTTTCAGAAAAACATATTCCAAATGAAGACTGGATTGAACTATGAAAGCACTCATGTTCAATATTATGCAATGTTTCTTGGCTATAGTGATTGAAATTTCTCTTTCCGAGCTTAGTCGTCTTCCGTTGGTCAAAACTATACACAGTGGGGAGGACTAACTGGGTGGTCAAATAGCTATCCAATTTCTGCAGGTCAGTGGTTCATATTGGTTTGGTCTATTAAGTACAGCTATGAGCTCATTTCAAAGTCATAATTTCCCAAGCTATGATGCGGAAGCCATTTCTGAATGCCAAAATGATTGCTGCTCTAAGTCTCATTCACTGAATCATAACAGCAAAAAGCTAGAGAGGGCTGGATAATATAAGAGTGTTGTTAGTCCTTATCCTTTCAGATCAATACATGAAAACCACATTGAAAGGTTTGCTATGCAATTCCTGTCATGTGTCAGGCTGGATACCCAAAATACCTACCCCCAATAAGTCTGTTCACAATGAAACTAGACCTTTGCAAATTCTTTCACAGAAAAACAAAAAATAAAGAAAAATGCCACTCCAAACCAGAAGAGAAATCTCCAATGAATGCCCTTAACAGCAGGGATTTGGTTATTTTGTAGTGGGGTTTTTGTGCGTTTTGACAGGAGTCTC